GGATAGTCATTCTCAGCCGCCATCTCCATTCACGGATGAGCAGTTACGTCGTCAGTTTGAACAGTTCCAGCTTTTCCAGCAGTATCAGCATACACAGACTGTGCCACCTTCTTCCACTGCTACTCTTGCCCAAGCTGGTACTACTACAGCCTTTCTTACTTCGTCTTCCACTCCAACCTGGATTATAGATTCCGGAGCTACTGATCATATGACTGGGAACCGAGGTATTCTGTCTTCTTTTTCTCCCACTTCTAACTCTGTTGTCCTAGCTGATGGGTCTCGGAAACCTATTCGGGGTACTGGCAATGTACTCACCACTCCTTCCCTTCCCCTGTCCTCTGTCTTTTATCTGCCTGATTTTTCGTACAATCTTTTATCTGTTAGTAAGATTACTAAGCTTCTCAATTGTACAGTAACATTCTTTCCTTCTTATTGTATATTTCAGGATCTGGTGACGAGGAAGACGATTGGCATAAGGAAGACGATTGGCACAGGACGTGAACGCAATGGCCTGTATGAGCTAGAGTTGGCATCCGAGCATGTGGCCTGCATCAGTACTGTTTCAGCTTTTGAGTACCACTGTCGGTTAGGTCACCCTTCTCTACCTGTGTTAAAACATCTTGTTCCCTCTTTAGGTTCTCTTTCCTCCTTAGATTGTGAGTCATGTCAGTTAGGAAAGCACCATCGCGTATCTTATCCTAGTCGAGTCAATAACAGAGCAATTCAGCCATTTGATTTAGTTCATTCAGATGTATGGGGACCTTGTCCCATTATTTCAAAATTGGGATTCAAGTATTTTGTTAGTTTTGTGGATGATTATTCACGGGTTACGTGGATATATTTGTTGAAATCTCGTTCTGATGTGTTCTCAACCTTTAAAATATTTTTATCAGAAATACAAAATCAGTTCAAATCCACAATAAAAGTTTTGAGGTCTGATAATGCAAAGGAGTATTTAGAAACAAATTTTGCTAACTTCCTTGCTCAATCTGGTATTTTGCATCAGTCATCATGTGTTTACACTCCTCAACAAAATGGAGTGGCTGAAAGAAAAAATCGACATCTCCTAGACATTGCTCGGACTTTATTATTTCATAGACAGGTACCTAAAGAATTTTGGGGTGATGCTATCCTTACTGCTTGTTACTTAATTAACCGAATGCCGTCTTCTATCCTTCAATACAAAATTCCGTACACCCTGCTGTATCCTAACAATCCTCTATTTCATTTACCTCCAAAGATTTTTGGGTCTTTGTGCTGTCCATAATTTTAATCCTCACAAATCTAAACTTGACCCTCGGTCCCATAAAGGTATATTCCTTGGATATTCTCGTACCCAGAAAGGCTACCTGTGTTTCTGTCCGTCCCTCCAAAGATATATTTTATCTGCTGATGTTACATTTTTTGAACATCAAGCTGGCCACTCTTCATCTGTCTCTCCCAGCCACTCGGACTCTTATGACTATTTGACCCTTCAAGAAACTTTCCTTAAGCAGGTTGACTCTTTGGCTGACAATGGTACTGGTAAAGATTCACAGCGCCTTCAGGGACCTCTCCAGGTTTATACACGTCGTCCTGCTTCTGCTCTTGTGCCTCCGTCTACCTCAACATCAAATCCTGTTTCAAGTGCTACTGTACCCTTATCTGCGGGTTCTGATGATCTTCCTATTGCGCTACGTAAGGGTAAAAGAACTTGTACTCAACATCCCCTCTCCAATTTTGTTTCTTACTCTCATCTTTCCTCTTCCTTCAAATCCTTTCTCTCTTCATTGGACTCACATTTGGTTCCCAAGAATGTGTCCGAAGCTCTATCTATACCAGGTTGGGTTGAAGCTATGAAGGATGAAATGACTGCTTTGGAGCAAAATGACACTTGGGATTTGGTATCTCTTCCGCCAGGCAAAAAGGTAGTTGGCTGCAAATGGGTTTATACTGTTAAACTCAATCCTGATGGAACTCTGGCACGCTTGAAGGCACGTTTAGTTGCAAAGGGTTTCTCTCAAGTCTATGGTCTTGATTATTTGGATACATTCTCTCCTGTTACCAAGATGACTTCAGTTCGTCTTCTCATTTCTATTGCTACTACCTATCACTGGCCTCTACATCAGCTTGATATTAAGAATGCATTTCTTAATGGTTTCCTTGATGAAGAAGTTTACATGGAGCAACCACCAGGCTTTGTTGCTCAGGGGGAGTCTCTGAAGGTCTGCAAGTTAAAGAAATCTTTATATGGCCTAAAACAATCTCCGCGTGCCTGGTTCTGTCGCTTTGCATCTGCTGTCCAAGACTTTGGTCTCAAAAGATCAGAGAAAGATCATTCTGTCTTCTGGCGACTAAATAATGGCAAGCGAATCCTGCTCGTTGTATATGTGGATGATATTGTCATCACAGGGGATGATACAACTGGGATTAGCGGTTTGAAGAAACATCTACATGAGCACTTCCAGACTAAGGATCTAGGGTCTCTCAAGTATTTTCTAGGTATAGAGGTGGCCAAGTCAAAGAAGGGTGTTCATTTGTCACAGAGAAAATATGTGCTCGATATGCTTTCAGAAGCTGGCATGTTAGGATGTGGAAGCATTGATTCTCCAATGGATGTAAATGTTAAGTTGTTACCAGATCAGGGGGAGCTTCTTGAGGATGCTGGACGATTTAGAAGGTTAGTGGGAAAATTGAATTATTTGACCGTAACTAGACCAGACATCACATTTGCGGTGAGTGTAGTCAGTCAATTTTTATCAGCACCAAGAACCACTCATGAATGCTGTATTAAGAATTCTGCGATATCTAAAGAAAACTCCAGGGAAAGGTCTCCTCTACTCAGATCAAGGACACATAAGGGTGGTAGGATTTTCAGATGCAGACTGGGCTGAGTGTCCTGTTGATAGGAGATCAACCACAGGATATTGCGTATTTGTTGGAGGAAATATTGTATCATGGAGGAGTAAGAAGCAGAGTGTAGTATCCCGTTCTAGTGCAGAATCAGAATACAGAGCAATGACAAATGTAACACTGAAAATGGTTTGGATTCACGACTTGTTGACAGAAGTTGGTCTTTCCCCAGAAGGTCCTATGAAACTATATGGTGACAATCAAGCAGCAATCCATATTGCTGAGAATCCTGTTTTTCATGAGAGGACGAAGCATATTGAAGTAGATTGTCATATTGTTCGAAGGAAGATTGTAGATAAAATCATCACTACAAGACATGTATCAACAGGTCATCAGTTAGCAGACATTCTAACAAAACCACTTGGGAAAACTCGGGTAGATTTTATTTGTGACAAGCTGGGCATGTATGATATATATGCTCCAGCTTGAGGGGGAGTGTTGAGAGATAATATGTAATACGGATCACTGGTGGTTTAGTCCCACATCGGTTGTAGGACCAAACTTGTATCATTTGAAACTATATATAGACTAGAGTATGAGACCCTAATCTTATAACTCTTTCTTCTCTAAATCTCTACTTACAATATTAACACTGTTCATCATCCTCGCCACGACCTTCTGATCCCTTGTGCCTCTCGTTGACTAGACCCTGCCATGCATGAGCCCGATGAGCTCTCCCTATCCGATCGAAGATCCCCAACACCGGATCTCCTCTGACCAGCCTCCGATGAGTTACGACATCCCCCTCCCCCCACACCCCCTCAAAAAAAGCAGTTCGCGATGCCTCTTTTCTCTTCCCTTGAAGCTCCGTTAAGGCCTTACAGCGCTGCTGGAAGCTCATTTAGCTCCCAACCATATCTAAACATGGCTTTGGAAAGTTGTCGAAGACTTAAAAATCTACCCGCTCCTCTCAGATCTTGATCAAATTCGCGTAGCTGCGAAAGTTTGCACTATTGAGATCATCATTTTTTCAGATCAGGTCCAGATTGGCATCGGAGGCATAACACATTTGAGCGCCTCTTACTTTTGAATCGGAGCTCCCTTCCCGGTCCGCATCATATAGAATGCTTTCAAGTAAATAATTAGTCTCTCTCTCGAGTAAAATAAGTATATTTATCGTGCACTACTATTTAATACGGCAGAAGCCCAGATACACTCTTTTTTTATGAGCGGCACATTCGTAGAAACCCAGATACTCACACATAGGCGAAGTATATTTACATTTTAGTACTGTTTAATCTGTTAGAATCCTTAGTGTCCATATAACCCTTGAATACTTTTGAAGGAATTCATGGATCCATATTTTGAAATTAATGGGTGATCACATTCTCATTTGTAAAGCTCCAATCATTCAGCCCACTCTTCCCTGCTAAGGTTTAAAATTTTGAGAATAAGAAGGGGACTTGAGATATTGTTAGACCTCTTGGGTTTCCATTTTCATAGTCATGATTGTAGAGTTGAAGTATCTTTCTTTTGTTAATTTGCTCTCTAATTTATCTTCATAATTTCCCTGTAGTCTCCTTGTTGGCATTTGTTAAGGCTGATGCTACCTGTTGCTTTTCACATATTATGGGCTGTTAATGGTAGCTTAGTTTAGGATCAACATTATTATTTTTGCACATCAGGTTTTTGGGACAATTCATTTACTGCTGGAAAGTGAAAGTTTCTTCATTTGGATGCTCTGCAACTTGGTCAATTTGTGGAGGCAAACCTCTTAATTTACTATCACTGAACATTAGAGATGTGCACTAGCCTACTGAGAGCAGATCAGACTAAAGTACTCTTTCATTTTCCCCCATCCTTCTTGACTTCTTCATAGTCTAGGAGAATCTTGGATCATTAGTCCTGGATTACGCAGGTTTAAACCAAAAGAATGATTTGGTAGATTTTACTACTTTCCAATTTGGCTTTGATGATCCATGCCAGGTCCCTCTCATGTCTATAGATTCCACAATGGGAAACAGTTTACTAGGGTTGATCTCAGGTTGCTCCCTTGGCTGTAGAATTTTGTTAAAAATCTTTTGTGGAGCACTGTGCTTAATATTAGAAACCATTTTAATGCAGAGGCTCAGATAATGATAGATGATTCTATTGTTTCTTATTGGCAGGTATAAAGAAAGTGAGTTGGTGAAGCTTGATATTCAGATCAATGGTGAACCTGTAGAACCATTATCAACAATTGTTCATAAAGATAAGGTAATCTAAAAATACTGTTTTGTACTTTATCACATGAAAGTAATGTTTAGGTTCAAAGAATTTTGCAGTGCGAAGCGTAAATGAATGTGGAAGATGCACCCTATCAGAAAATGTTCCTCTAGTCGTCTTTGATATTTGTAGTTAAAAAATAATAATAATAAATTCCTTTATTACATTTAGGAGTCTTTGACCCTGTATCCAAAATCTAGTTCCTTGAAGAACTTCATAACCATGATATTGTATTGTATTTCAGATCTTCAGTTGAGTTAAAAGAACAACTAGACCTGAGTTTATGACATTACACTACTTCATAAGTACTCTGCTACAAGGCTTCTGATTTTTATTCTATAATTTTTGAAATAACTTTTTAAAAACTTCTTACAGAATATTTAATAGATCCTTGGGAAATCAAGTATCTAGTTATATTAATGTTGATCATCTATATCACTCTTCAAGCAGCTTTTTGACTTCTAGCAACAAACCA